TTTTAATATTCAGTTATCACTTAGTAAATTTTTTTTTTAGTTTTGAGTTGGGACTTTGTTATCTTGGAATTAAAAAAATCGTTTGAATTGAATTTTTTGATTTTTTAAATTTTTATAGAATAAAAAATAATAATTATCATTTAAATATAATATTTTATCTTATTTATTCATTTAACTTATTTTATTTTTTACATTTTTTTTTAATCCGAGCTGAATAGCCAAACGAAGTCTCACTATCCAAAGGTGAATCACACGAACCACATGACCAATTGCCCAGACTCATTTAAAAAGTTAAAAAATTATTAAAAAAGTTAAAAAAATCAATAATTCATATTAAAAAGTCAAAAATTTTATTTTATCTCTACCTTTTACATATCTTTTTATAAAAAACTAAAAACTCAACCAAAACATACTAATTTTTTTAAGCTTATATTTTAGTCAAATAACCAAAAAATTATTAAATTAGTCTATTCCCAAACGAGGCTTTAAGATTTATTTGAAAAGTGAGTTAGTTTTTTAACTATTTTAATTTAGGATTAAAAAATCTCGTTTAGAATGTAATTTTTGACTTTTATAAAAAAAATATAATAATTATATGTTAAATATGATATTTTATCTTATTAAACTAAAAAAATTACTTATCTTTATATAACTAAAATAACTCTCAACCTAACCCAATTCAACCCAACCGAATCCAATTCAACTCAATCCCATCCAATTGTCCAACGAAGGCTTAGCATCTCTTTTACTGACCAAATTACCTATCATTGTCTGATTAATGACTCTGATGTCCCAGGTATTTTACAATAAATACACATCACATCAGAAGGGTATAATTGTCATTACACACTTCTATGGCTGTCAAATTTGCCGAAAATAGTATGGCCGTGGTACTTCACCGGGACCACCACAAATGCATTTCCATATAACCATAATGACACATCTTTTTAAATTAATAAGCTTTAATGACATAAAAAAAAATAAAAAAATAAAAAATTACAAGACACAAACATCACTATCACAATGAGACTCTATTAGAGCTATTAGGATTGTGTTTGATAGTTTTGTAAATATAATTTAAGAATATGAGTTGTATTTTGAGTTTGTAAGTTGTGAAATTATGATTTGAGTGTAGACAATTTGTTTGGTTATGATTTTTTGGTAGAGTGTTGAATTGAGTTTTGAATTGAATGTACAATTGAGTTTTAAAAGTTTGATTTGACATGTGAAGTAAGAAAATTTATTTGATTATAAGTTTTGAAAAAAGTTTTCAAAACTTAATTCAAATTGTTATAACTCATAACAAAACACACTACTTTCACATTATTAAAAATTCTGATAAACACTCATAACCAAACTCTTTTTAAAATTCAATTAAAAAAATTATTATTAACAGAAAATAACATTAATCAATTTTTTAATTAAAAATACTACAAAGGAAATAATTTTTTTTCAAAATAAATATTCAAAAAATTTAAATCATAAATATTTAAATAATGTAAATAATCTAAAAAATTTAATAAGTAAAAAATTAAAATAAATATTCAAAAAATTTAAATCGTAAAAATTTAAATAATTTAAATATTCAAAAAAATTTAATAATTTAAAATGTTAATATTTTAAATTTAAAAACAACTCTATACTAAAATCGTAACTAAACACATAAAATAAAATTCAATTAAGAAATTATTTTTAAAATTCATAACCAAACACATAATTCGAAGAGAAAATTGGTCTAGGGTCCCTCTTACACTTTTCGTAATGGAAGAGGTCCACAAAATTATTTTTTGATGTCTAAGATCCCTAAACATGTATCAGAGAAATTTGGTCGAAGTCAAAGAAGAGGTGGATTGATTAGTCGAAGATGAGATGCGTCGCAGCTCCAAGAAACCCTCTGATTTCCTCAACGAGCTCCCTCATCTTCCCATCTTCAACGTCTAGGTTCTCTCTCCCAACTAAACATTGCGGATCGATTAGTTGAAGATGAGATGCGTCATCGGTTAGGTAATCTTCGGATCGATTGCCGCCGTTCTTGCCATAACTCAGTCCCCATCGCCATCACCTCCGCCATGGTTGCCATCGCACTCTTAGGGACCGTCATCGGTCAGCTAATCTTCGGATACCTCGACCTCCCCTGCGACGGAGATAGCATTTGCATGATCTGCAAGAAGAAGTCGGCGGAGGACGAGACCATCACCTGCAAGGTGGTTTCCATGGTGGTCCTGTGAGCTTCTCTCTCCTAGAGGGTAGTTGTTGACTTCAGTAGAGGTCTACGTTGGTTTGTGGAAACCAGTGTTGCTGTTGCTGTTGCTGTTACACTGTGTGGTGACCATAGCGTGGCCGTGGGTGCGTTGTGGTAAAGCTGGTTTCTCTGTGGTGAAGCTGATGAAAGATGTCTGTGAATGCTTCTTGGCAGAAGGCACCAATTGTATTGATGATGGACAAGTAAGATCCACAAATTTAACAAATTTAACAAGTAAGATCCACAAATTGGTCCAGAGAAATTTCTCTCCAGAGAAATTCTGGAAATTTCTCTGGACTTCGGAATGTGTTTTAACCAATTTCTTTGACTTTGAAATGAACTGATGTGGGTTTTATAGTTTTTTTTTCATAATGGACCTTACATAGATGGTTTTGTTTCTTTGTGCAAGAAAATTGAGAATGAGAAAGTAATGGTAGAACATGTTCATATTTTAGAGAAGAACAGTGGTTTACATGTACAGAATAAAAAATTGTCTCAAGAAGCTTCTTATGCAAAGGAACTGGCCTCTACTACTGCCGTTGAGTTGAAGAATTTGGCTGGTGAAGTCACAAAGCTCTCTCTACAGAATGCAAAACTAGAGAAAGAACTATTGGTTGCTTGAGAATTGGTAGCCAATAGTTCCCTTCCTTTCTCAAATCAGAGAAAATTCGAGAGATGGCAGATCTGAATCAATTTTTTAATTTTCCCTTCCTTTCTCAAATCAGAGAAATTTAAAATTTCTCTAGGAAGTCCAGAGAAATTCAAAATTTCTCTGAACCAAATTTCTCTGTGATGTGAATTTTCTCTGGATCGAATTTTCTCTTGGACCGAAATTTCTCTGGATTGATGTTGAGAGACCTTAGACATCATGAAAATAGTTGATATCCTTTATACTAGAAAATCATAATATCAGGGACGTTAAAAAAAATACCCCAAATTTGAAACTACATACTACTTTTACAACTCTACACTCAAATCGTAACCAAATACATAACAAAAAAATTAAAATATTTAAAAATATTTTTATAAAATAGAGTTTGAATTTATTTTTATAAAATATTTTAAAATTTAAAAAATTAAAATCGTAATATTTTGAAATTAAAATATTTAAAAATATTCAAAAAATTTAAAAATTAAAAAATCAAAACATATTTAAATATTAAAATATTTAAAATCTTAACAAAATTAAAATATTTTTAAAATTTTAAAAAATTAAAAAAATCATAACATATTTAAATATTAAAATATTTAAAATCTTAACAAAATTAAAATATTTTTAAAATATTTAAAAAATTAAAATATTGATTTGAATTGAGTTTTGAAAAAAGTTTTGAATTATGTGTTTGGTTATGAATTTTGAAAAATAATGATTATGTTTTAAATTAAATTTAGAGAAATTGGTGTAAAATTATTATTTGAAAACTTAAAATAAATAACACACTTAAATCAATGGGTGAACTATAATTCAAAACGCATATCAAATGGAGCCTAGAACTCTTTTATTAGAGTTTCAAAATATTTTTGTTCCACATAATAGTCTACCCTTCTGTCTCAGGTGACCCTAAGTTATATCCCACGCGTCTCAATATTATTGGAATATATCAACCACGCAGCTGTTTGGCGCGTCTGCATAAGCCTATAAGTTCCATTTTTGGAATGGGTAAATTACAGCTAGACTCACACAATACACTTCATTTTAAAATTTTAATATAATTATATTAATTTTTTTCCTAATAAAATTAAATAGGGTGAAATTAATGTATATAGTGTAAAAATATAAGAATAAATAAAGAGAGATATGCATTTAAATGTAAAAAAAAATGTTTGAGATATGTAATTTATCATTTTTAAAAATCACTCATAATGATGTGTTTGACAAGTAAGATCTAATTTTAATTTGTTAAATATTTTATATGTGAGGTCTAATTTTCATGTCATATCATTAAAGGTCATTTAAGAGTGATAAATTAAGGAGATGTAATATTGGTTTTAATGTAGAAAAGATGATAATGTTATTTTTCTAATTTATATGATTAACGAATTATTAATAAAAATGAGACAAAGTATTATGTGAATAAAAATATTTTAAAAAATTAATATAAATATATTAAAATTGTGAGACTTTTGATCCAAGTGATGTAGTTTAATGGTAAAACCTTGGGTATGAAGTCACACGTTCATCTCTCTTGGGGGCCAGCCATCTAAGCGAGAACACATATAATTGGTAAGGTACACTATATATATAGTGGGTGTTTGAGAAATTGTTATTTTAGTTTTTGACTATTTTAGGAGATTAAAATTTTTGTGTTTGGAAAGATAATTAGATTTTTTTATAGTTGGGTGCAGTGTTTGTGAGAGAAAAAATAAAATGATTATGAATTTGATGTGATATTTTATGTTATTGACTATTTTCACTTATTTTGTCTTTTAGTGCTATTTTAATCAAAAAAACCAAAAAAGTTTAGTCCCAAACATTCCCATTGCGTTAGGATTATATGTTCGAATTCGTACTTGTGTGTGTTAGACTTACTTATCGTTACATGATTAAACAGGTCAATTATGTAGTTAGGCCTTTTAAAATTGTTGTACATTTTGCATTTTTAAAATTTTTTTTTAAAGTAAATTCAATGTAATTTACCCATTTGGTAGCTTCAACTCTCTCTCAACATTGCGTACATGGACCCATTTACCCTTTTTGGATTACAAAGATAAATGCATGGAGAAGTCTCTGTTTCTTGTGCGTGTGACTCGTTTGAATCTCAACAAATTGTCTCTAAAACCACTAGATACATACATATATGCCCACGCATAGATAGAGATAGATGAGAGACATATAACATTTGATCTTTCGCAGGTTTCTTTGATCATCATCATCAGGAGGAAAAAAATCGAATGGAGGAGAACCCATCTCAAGTTCAATCTAAAGAAGGGTCCCACCACCACGTGGCGTCATCAAGAAAGGGAGAGCCCCCAAGGAAGAACCGCCACCGCCGGTGCACCGTAGAAGACGACACAGGAGATCCGATCAAGTGCTCCGGCAAGCATTGCCGATCATGCACCGCCGGGCTGATCGCTGACTGCGTGGCCGTCTGTTGCTGTCCCTGTGCTGTCGTCAGCTTCTTCGCCCTCGCATTCTTCAAGGCTCCGTGGATGATGGGTCGGAGGTGTTTGGGGCTCGGGAAAAAGAAGGAAAAGAAAAGAAAATGTGTGGGAAGCGAGGAGGAGGACATGGATGGAAATTCGAGAAAGGGGAGGGTAGAAGGGGAAACATATTCAGAAATTATAACTGGGTTTGGGTTTGGAGAAGAAGATGAAGAGAGAGAATTTGAAGCAGAGAGGGTTTGGTTAGAGATGAACCAGTTGGGTCATTTGGGTTTTGGAAGGGTTTCATTCACTGGAATTCAATCTCAAGGTAAGGGCTATTAGGGTTAAAAAAACAAAGATATTTGTTGTTTGTGAAGTTGAAAAAATTCTCAATTTTTTGTATACTTGGTAGAGTTTGGGGTTGGTGTGTTAAACCCAAATTAGTGTTAATTGTAATTTGCAAATGAAAGTTACCAAATGGCCTTTTGGTTCTCTTTAATTACTCGAAAGGAGGGAATTGATTCATGTCTATTGATTTTTTGTTTCTATCTTTTAATTTTGTTCCCTTTTTCTTTTCTTTTCTTTGCATATGAAATTGAAAAATATGCATGAAAACAAATATATATATATATATATATATTATTTTTCATACATAAAACTCACACATTCACCTTCTGAATGTGATATTTTTGTAATTATTTGCTATTTTTGTTTACAAGAAGAAATCATTTAGCCTCCGTTTGGGGAGTGGGTTGGCTTTTTGACTTTTTTAGCTATTTTAGCTTGGGTTAAAAAGCTTGGTTTGGGAAGGGTTTTTTTGGCTTTTTTTGATTTTTTTTATGAGAGAAGAGTATAATGATTATGAGTTGGATGTAATGTTTTATTTTTTGTGACTAAAATAGCCTATTTTGTCTTTTGTAACTAAAATAGCTAAAAAAACTCACTTTAATTCTTCCCAAACGGACCCTAAGGTTCAACATATATTCTAAGTGATATGTTCTTCTAAATGTACAAGGCAATGTAATTAATTTCTTATCCTTTGTCTCTTATGTTGTAGATAAAGATGAACACATAATCATATATGTAAGTCGGACCTAAAAAATATTTTTTCATGTTCATGAGAGTTTCTAGAGCTTCGTCATTACTAATTTTCTATGTAAGTCTTTAGGTCTCGTTTGTTTTCAGAGGTAAAATAGAAAGGATTCATAGTGAATAGATTAATAATGAAGAGATTGTTAGTAAGGAAATTGATAGTGAGGGGATTAAGTAAAATTGTATTTGTTTTGATGATAGTTATTAGTGTAGGGATTGTTAGATTATTTTTATATAAAATATAAAAACAAATAAAAAATACAAAAAATTAAACATTAATGTTCAAAAAAAAATGCCCAACATGTAAAAAATAAAATAAAAATAAAAAATTTCAAAAAAAAAATAAAACAAATAAAACAATGATTTTTGCTTAACAAAAAATACAAAAAATTAAATATTAATGTTCAAAAAAAAAATACCCAACATGTAATAAATAACTATATAAATAAATAAAATAAAAAATTTCTAATCTTTTGGACTATTTTTCTAATATCATCTCCACCTTCTCCATCTCAATCTCCACTCTAAGGCCTATCTTAATACCAAGGAATTAGGAGTCCCCTCCTTAACTCTCAAAACAGACACCCCATATAATGAGTCTTATATCAAGTCAAATCTCCTCCTTATAACAGCAAACAAACGGGGCCCTAGTTCTATAGATATTAAGTAATTATCGTTTGAAAGAACTAAGATATATCCATTAGGCTCCGCGTGGGCGGGGGTAGAAAATCAAATATTTAACTATTAGGTCATGTTTATTTGGGTGGATATGAGTTTGAGATTGGATTAATAGTCCAATAAAATTATTAATCCGATATTTGGTTAAAGAATTGAAATACAGATTAATATTCCATCCGGATATGGTATCCCGCATATGATGGACTATTCAATCACATAGACAAGTGTGAGATATAAATTGGAAGTCTAAGCCAAAGTTTGAACTATTAGTCATTCCTTATAGTCCTAACTCAATCCAAACATAGAATATGATACACAATCTAAAAAGATTCATAATCTTAGGACTCCAAACAAACGGGACCCTAGTTCCATAGATATTAAGTAATTATCGTTTGAAAGAACTAAGATATATCCATTAGGCTCCGCGGGGGCGGGGGCAGAAAATCAAATATTTAACTATTAGGTCATGTTTATTTGGGTGGATATGAGTTTGAGATTGGATTAATAGTCCAATAAAATTATTAATCCGATATTTGGTTAAAGAATTGAAATACAGATTAATATTCCATCCGGATATGGTATCCCGCATATGATGGACTATTCAATCACATAGATAAGTGTGAGATATAAATTGGAAGTCTAAGTCAAAGTTTGGACTATTAGTCATTCCTTATAGTCCTAACTCAATCCAAACATAGAATATGATACACAATCTAAAAAGATTCATAGTCTTAGGACTATTAATCATAAAAATACTAATCCAACCTAATCTAATCTCGCCAAAAAGCATGGCCTTAGTCTCTTTAGAATACAAGACTTATATGATAGTCAAACTATACGCAATTATTTGAATTGAAAAAAAAAAAAAAAAAAATCATACACAACTCCAATGTGTTACATTTTTGCAATTCTTAACTACAATAGTTGGTATTTTAGAATAAAATGAAAGTCAGATATAACACTATATTATTATTTTGTGTAACTTATTATAAGTTAAAAATTAAAAATTTAAATGTAGAAGTCAAAAATATCCATCACTCATCTTTCAAAAGTTAATTTTTAAAATTTATTTAAACTATTTTAACTTAGATCTCGTTTATGAATTATACATTTTAATCAAAAAATTAAAAAATTATTATAAATTATTACATCACTCTCTTTATTTTTTTACACATCTTTCATAAAAAATCAAAAAATTATTAAAATAATCTATTTTCAAACGAGAACTTAACAAAACTGTAAGTAGAAGTTATATTAAATAGTTTAATTCAGACTTTTAAAATAAAAAAAAATTACAAACAATTCAGAAAAATTACACTAATTAACCATTATATCAATTACACTAATTCAGCCTTTATATGATTTGTTTACATAAAAAATTTGTCTTATCCACTAATATATTTTAAAAAAAATGTTCAAAACATTCGGAGTGTATAGTGGCCCTGTTTGGTAGAGTTGTGAGAAAGTGATTATAACTTATACCTTAACAGTTTATAACTTATAACTGTAAATATAAGTTGATTTTTTACTTATAAATTAAACTTCTCTTCCCTCACTCAAAGAATAAGTTGATTTTTGACTTACAAAAAGGTATAAGCTATATTGTTAAACTGAACTAAATATATTAAAATAACTTAAATTAAATTAAAAACTAAAATAAATTAAAAATAAATCTTACCAAGTGTATGTGTCCTTCACTTTTATTGAAAAATGAAGCCAACCCCTCAGTGAATAGTATAGAAATAATGTACAGTAAGGCAAGTAAAGAGAAAGCGGAGCTAAAAAGTGTTCAAATACTTTTTCAGTTTCAGAACTTTTAAATGTTATTTTTCTGTCCTTCTCTTGCCGTCCACGGTCTATTTGAGGAAGAATTATCTTGTTTTTCAGAAATTTTAATTAAATTATGTGTTTTTTTAATATTATTAATTATTTTATATAATATATAAAAAAAAATTTTAATTAAATTATGTGTTTTTTTAATATTATTAATTATTTTATATAAAAAATAAAAAATAAAAAATTAATAGAATTACAAAAACATATTACGTAAAACATAAGACAGTCCTATGTTCTATTTTACTGATTTATTAACTGAAAAGCTTATATAGGCAGTGCCACCAAACCAAACATTACCATTAACAAACCACTAACATATGATTTACTTGGTTGGACATTTTTAGTAGGAAAAATTATCAGTGGTAGCATGAGAAAATTATTATAGATTCATAATAAAATTTATAAATCTAATTAATTCCCACAGTGGTGTATGTGTGTGTAAATTAAATGTGTAAATAAAAAAAATAAAAAAAATAATTTAAAATCATAAAATAATTTAATAAATTAAATTATGAATTAAATGCTTATAGAAATTAAAGTCGAGCCTTGTGTTGGACACAATCTCCTTAAAATAGATTTTGCCCTCGCTCTGGTGCTTCAAGTTTTTCACGACGTCTACTTCCCAGGATGTAATGGCTAACACTCAAATTTGCAGCACTACAAAAAACAAGTCTGGCGAACTAAAACTCTATTGTGACTCTCTCATTTTCTTCCAAAAATTAAATGTCGAATAGATATATTAATAGGAGGACGAAAAAAGGAAGAAGATAGAAAAGTTCTGAAAGATTGAATGGACAAAATTGCTTGGAAAACAAGCTATATATAGGAAATTAGGTGGTTTTTCCGAACAGGTACCAAATAGCTATGCAACTGTTCGGATAGATTCAATAACAGAAATAGATCTATCCAGTTTGAATTCAAATTTTGAACCAATACAACAGATAGAAAACTGTCTGCGACCTGAAAAGGTAAGTGTTGGGCTGGACAAGCCTAACAAACCTCACACCTCGCACCACGCACCCAAGCCCAGGCCCAGCCCAGCCCAGCCTGCCCGACTGGCCGGACGTGTGGTTTTGTTTTGGGTCTAATGGGTCTAGTCTACTTCACCCATAACCTCACCACTCCACAAAATTTGGTATCCCTTAGTGCCCATCCCAAGTATCCCAAGCTTAGGTCCATAAACCCAAATAAATCCTTAAGCTTTTCGAATGTGGGACAAGCACATTTCACAAATGTGTAGGAAACCCACCTAAATTTATTTCCATGAACCAGAAAATGCGTGTTGAATTCTCATTCATCCGGAAATGGTTTTGAGCAACCAAATATACGGTTTTATTCATTACGCAACATTAAATATGAACCCAATTAGAAACGTTAAAAATAATACTTGGGTCCCATCTTAATTAATGCTGAAAGTTAGCAAAAAATAAGAATTTTTCAAAAGCTTCCAAAGCCATTTTCCAATAATCCCCTACATGAATGAGATTCACGATAACGAACATGTAACAAGATGTAGACAAAGAAAGAGTATATTAAGAAGACATACCACATCAAGATAGGTAGCTTTTGGCTTTGAACCTCCTTTAGTGAAAGCCTATCGGATTTACTAGCTAACCAGTGGACGCCTTGAACTGTTTAATTGTTTGTGTCAGCCAAGACAATAAACTACACATAGTGTATCCTCAGACACAGTTTGGTTCTTACGGTTGTGTTCCTTTTGACCCTGAACAATGCCTGGTAATTCATGAGTGCTCTAGAGAATTTAGCCTTCTCAATTTTCAAAGAACCAACCCAGTTCACACTCATATCGATGATTTCTTATTAAGAGTATTCTACTATACCCCACTTGGAAGTCCAAGCTATAAGAATCATTAAAAGCAAAGCTTATCCTACTAACACTGTAGGTATCACTCTT